GTCTTAAATTGGTAATATCAATTGGTTTCACCAGTAGCAGGGTAATTAATGTAGATCGAAAAGGGATATTTATATTACTTTGGCGAAAGAATTTTTCAATATCTACAGATTTCTCTGAACGTTTGCAGATGTCATTGTATAAACAAAATTTAGAAAAAAAATTGTGGAGGAAGAAGTTAACATTTTGACTCTTTCTGGCTTCTTGGAAGTGCCTTTGGAAATAAATGATTCTGCTATTGCATAAAGACTAAGGCGTAAAATCTAAAATAAAAACAATACATTTGTGCTTTAGCTGCATGACCATACATCTCCATATTGTTGGTGTTGGAAGGACACCAATCACATTTCTCAAAGGCAATCTCTCTATTTTCAATATTGTTGGAACTGGGGTTACAGTAGCTAGGGTAGGGTTCGAGCCCACCACAGCCCATGTCTCCTGCTCCCACTGATGTCTGCTGTTGTTGTGTCCCTGGGCAAGACACTTAACCCCACATTGCCCGAACTGAAAGACCAAGGCCATCTCGTCGTTGACGGAGAAGCCGTCTTGCTGTGGACCCACCACCTGCAGAGGATCAGTGAGGGACTGGTGCTATGAGACTTGGGTGGCAGCTCTGATTGCCACCCCCCGATCCAGAAATGGATTAATAAAGGGGTAGAAAATTACATTGTTGGAACATGTTCAATTTTTTGCTAATGATTGCAGTCGTTAAGTCACGATTATTCAGATTAACCGATGCAGCTCAACTTCTTAATATCCAAAAGTGTTTGTTGAATGTGAAATGGGCCTGCGCACCCGCAGCCAGTGCTCTGGCAGAATCGGCGCTGAATGACTTGTTAATATCCTAAAGTGTATTGCTGCTCAAGTGCATTTGGAGGCAGTAATCCATTATTTTCCATGTGCCACGGACGGCTGCTGAAGAGAGGATTACCGCACCTAAGGACTTATTTCATCAACATAAGCCTCTGCCGCCTTTGTGGGTGAAATTAAATGTGCAATGTAGTTTTACCTACATCAAACTGCTTAGTCATATTGTCTAAGGGGCTTGTCCCGCGGGTTTTTGGTTTAAAACTTAACGGACTGGCCGTAGTAGCGAGTATAACTGGGTTGGCTGAAGTGTGTGTGTGCGTGTGCATGTGCGTGTGCGTGTGCGTGTGCGTGTGTGTGTGCGTGTGTGTGTGTGTGCGTGTGTGTGTGCGTGTGTGTGTAGGCAGACGACTGCTGTTGTGGTTCATGGCTATACACAAATTAATTGAATTGAAGTGATTTGAAACAACTGAGTGGGGTAAATGAGGAGGTATAAGACAAAGGCACGGAAGCAAGAGTGTTCATGTGAAAGTAGACAAATGTAATAATCTATATCTAAAAAAGGCCCTTTACTTTAGTAAGGCTTTGTAAGACAGTTCAGTGCAGTAACAGTCACAGGGAGCAGAGCAGCTGTTGACCTGTGGCTGACTGGACCGGCACATGTACTGTAAACAGTTGGTGCATTCTTTGCCTTTCACCCCTCCTCTTTGTTACACGTTTGGATTTTGATGTAAATCTTTTCACCAAAATTCCTACATAATAGACATTAAAATTAAGGTTTTTCTTTACTTTCCGATTGTGCTGACAGTAGTCCTGTGTCTTAACTTTCTGTGGGCTTATATCTCTCAGCCCGCTGCAAGGAAATCTTCATTTGCTTCAAATTTTATCTTAGAACCATCATAAATTTGACCGTGCTGAAATATTCCTGCATGGGACCAATTTACAATATAATGGTCATATAAAAATGTTAAATGTATTGTATTTGACGAAAACAGCTTGACATTTCCAAAAATGTCCACAAAGAAAATAAACATAATTTTACTGAATCTTGAGTCAAGAAAACATATAAAACATTAACAATTGTCGTCATATGCTCCTGTGTCTTCTCCCATCTCCTCATATCAGTCCCAGCAGTCCACATTGCCTCTCTTTTTCTGTAATCTGATCTACATGCAAACCGAATGCTGACCTTTACAACACTCAATAATAAATAATGTCCTCCATAAAATAGTAAAAAGTCAAATTGAGCAGCACCATTCAATACCGGGACCTTTTGAATTCTGCAATTTGTTTTATGGTGTACTCAGTATTCCCACAACTGCATTTATGGCCTCATAGATGTGGCTGTTAAGTAACAGCGAGTCAAGCCAGCCCATTTTGACCTTGATAAACCCAGGTGGCAATGTCTTTCCTAATTCTACATTTGAATATCTATACAATGAAGTAGTATTAGGCAACATTTGATTACAAATAAATGATTAAACATATTGAAACCACTTCCATGTTCCACACACGTAACCGTAATTGTTGCAAAAGTCTACAGCCAAAAAAACTGAATACCTTTCCAATAACGGTCCCGATATCCCCAATCACATTCCACTCTATTGAAAAGGTTTTGTATTTTGTTCCCTACTAAATTAAAATCCTAAAAGACAAACAATCAATTATTTAAGTTTTTAACACAATCATGGCAGTACCACCTGGATTTCAGGAACAATTTTATGTTTGTCAACGTAACAGCATTGGGTATCTGAGTAATTCAATGTTTGTTCTAAAACAACTCAATACATTAGATACTAATTTCAAAATGTATGTAAATATAAATTGTCTAACATTGTTTTACCAGTGTTACCTGCCCCAGGATTACGGATGTAGATTAGCAGTTTTGCTCATAGACTCAAAAAATGCAAACCGCTTGCTCAATGCATCCCAATAGGAAAGTGCTCATGGACAAAGTTTTGCTCCAACTCACTCTGGCTCCTATTGATTTACATGAACTCCTTTAGCTCAGTAACCGTTTGTGTCACACCATTTTGAGATGAACAAATGTTTAGCGCCCTTTATAATCCTGGGGTTTATGTTTTGATATTATCTTTGTAAATCCAGATTGACTAATCAGATTCCTTCATTTGCGGTTCCTCCAGCTTGCTTTAGCAAACACCTTAGCAACACGTCTGCCGCTGTTACGTTGCAAAGCCAACACTGTTGGAACAAATCAAGACATTCGCTCCAGCTAGCTTATGTTCAAATCGGCTTCTTCTGCATTTGGCAAACACTATGAAGACATCAGCACTTGGTCAGTCCTCTCCTAATGTACAGTCTACAGTTTTGCTCCAATCCGCCACATTTGCAATTTGTGTGAATGCAACGGGTGTGTAAATGTTTAGCTTTTGTTGTATGTTAATATGTCTAAACCACAATCATTTCCTGGCATGTTATACATACTCAAGACAAAATCCCAAAGCATATAATGAATGAATCCACGTTGGATCCATCAAAATCTATAAGCAATTAGAGCAGCAGGATGCAGTTACATTGTCTTGCCCCCGACAACTACTGTATATACATGCATTAGGACTAAACAATTCATTACAGCTTTAAGACCAGTGTCCAATCAGCTTTACATTCAATCATTATAAATCCAGCTCTTTATTGTAAAAACCCTGACTAATTGCCCTCCCTGCCTCTTCCATTTGCCCATATGAGCGTCTTGTTGAGCTGCAGAGGGCTGTGCGCACGCTTCATTCTCCTAATTGGACGGCTGTGACTGGGGCATTGATCTGGATCTGATCCGCAGGAGTGGAGGGGGCCGCGGGAAGATGATGAGTTGCATCGGACGCACTTCGATTTTCAGTGACGACTCTCATTAGCGGCTTCGCATGAGCAGTGGCTGGTCCAGAGAGTGAAGAGGAGAGAGGCTACAGGTGCACAAAGGAGAGGAGGCACGAGAGCAGCTACTTTCTATTCAGCTCATTCTTTATCAAGTGGAGAAGAATATTGGACATAGAAGCATATGGCATGGCTGATATGTACTATTAATGGGCCAATATACTCCTATGATACTTGTACTTTTGTTGGAAAAGTTTTGTAGCTGGTAATGTAAGCTGCTCATGTGTGTAGCTGTCTCACCAGGTCAGATTTCTAGTCTTAGTTTAGAGCCAAGTTTTCTATAATTACTTAGTCAATTAATCAAGTGTATATTATATTCATGCAGATGGTTCAGTCCAATCTGTTGCTGAAGTGGCTTTGACCAAAAGCAATGAAGAAATTGACCTTTGTGTCAATAGGCTAATTTGCAAAGAAAATTTACCAATATTTGTTTATGTACTTTAACGCTGATACTTCCATCCTTCTGAAAGATATTATAAAAGATTTTTTAATTTGTCCCTCAGTGGGGTATATGCAGTGTTACAGTACAGTAGGAACGAGTAGCACACAACACAAGATAAATGAACAATAACTCTATACTAAATAAAATAAAATACAAATCTCTAACTCTAGCATGAAGAAACGTGTATAAAATCTCTATCTTTAGCATAATGAGTACAAAAACTTTGACTTAATAAAGATGAATACAATCTCTACCTTTGGCATAAAAAGAAGCCAGTATAAAGTACTGTGTATTATAGTGCAGCTAATATATAGTTGTATGTTTACATCTGTACATGTTAGAGGGTTTGGGACACAGTGATTAAGTAGAGCAACAGGGACACATGTGGTTTTATATTGCACATTCTGACATTAGTTCAAGACATTGCACCAATACATGACATTTGAGGTCAGGTCAGAAGTGTTCTTTCCTCATTGTTTGTTGTAAAGTCTGACAGCAGCAGGGAGGCAAGACCTGCAAAACCTTTCCTTCACAAACTGCTCTCCAAATGTTTTAGAGCGATATTGGGGTAGTACATACTTAATTCATGATTACAATATGCATGTTAGTTAGTCAGCTAGTTTATTAAAAAACCTACTAAGCACAATTTCACACAAATAGACTAATACCTTGCTTCATTGATTTGTTTCTCAATCAGTTATAAGTCCCTTTAATAAATCGTGCCTTCCTTTGTCCAAACACCTAAAGTCGTCTGCTTAGAGCAACACTGATGCATTCTATTCTTCAGTAACCGCTTCTCAATATCATCTTGCATATCTGATTCAAGCTTCTGCACTTCTCCGAGCTCTCCCCCCCAACAATAAATTAATGCATGTATCCGTGACCAGTCCGGGAGGCAGCGAGGGAAGGCCTGTGACGTGGAATAATTATCCCGCTCCGAGCACCGCTGGCAGCCTGGAGTGTTGATAGTCTGAAGCGGCCCGCCACCGTATGGAAGACTGTGCGCTCCCTTCTCATCAGCGCATAAATCTGAGTGAAAACTGGCACGCAGCGAAGAAGTGATTATCCGACATAATCAAGCATTCACTGTCCTCATGTCGGAGAGAAGCCACTGTATGCAAATGTGCGAATAGCGGCTGGTCGGTCACCACCTAACCCCCCCCACAGCGAAGTGAACACACATTTAAGCAGGATTTACGGCGTTCGGGACATCGCCGCGAGGGTTAAGCTCTTGTTTTATGGCTGCTACGATAAGGAGAGATCTGAGATTTTATGTGCAGCACTTCAAAACCGTGAAACCACCTATTTTCCTCTTGAGTGCTAATGTGCAAGTGTGAAATCTCCAAAGAATGGACACAATGGAACGTTACGAGATTTGATGATGCCGTGTTTGAGTGGAGTGAGGGCGACCTTTTGTCCTAATGTGAGGAAACTGTACAAGATAAGGCAAAATATAGTGAATATAATGGTAAGGATAATGCACCAAACGATATGTTTAAATGTTCAATTATGTTCATTAAATTCCTGGATACATAATTTCTTTACATCATTGTCCTCTGCATTTGACCTTTTGTCCTTCCAATGCCACTTGGACAACCCATCAGGCCCATGGACTGTATATATTAACGGACGTAGTCACGCCTATCTCCGCCGTTCTAACTAATGGGCCAAAAATTGGGCTTTCATGGAGTGATTCAAAATGCTGGAAAATGTGAAAAAAAAACGCATCTGCGCATGCCTCAGCCGACACGAGCCCCATTCATTTAAACGAGTGACTTCAATTCACAGGGAGTAAACTAGACTGGTCCAAAAAATTCACTCCCCTCAGCATTGACACACATGTGGAACGGAGCTTTTGGACCATCCTGCTATATGAAGAAGATGCTATATGTTAGCATTGGCTAATTCTTATTCCGGGTCCACCCCCTTCGGCCCGGGGTGGTATTGCAAGCATGTCAGCGCACGTCATTTTGGCCACTTTTGAGCCGGGACCCGCCCCCACTGGTCAGGCCGAGGACCCTTTCCTAGATGTTGATGCTCTGCTTGGTCAGGAGGACTTTGGGTGGTGTGGGAAAAGGGAGTGTCAAAGGAAACCCAGACACAGGGAGAAACATACAAATTCCCCACAGAAAGAACTGGGTCGACATGGGATCAAACCCACAATCTTTTTTTCTGTGAAGCCAAAGTAGGTATAGGTGCCTTTTCTCAGGAATAAACCATGATTTTTCTTTATGATGCAATTCCTATTGGGTCGCTGTGACTTACAAAAATAACTCATGCCTTGCTCCATGCCTGTATAGGGAGACACCTGGTGCATGGATCATTCAGGTGCAGTTCAGACAGTGTTGGGAAGTACCAGAATTTATTTTTAAATTACTCTATTCAGAATACTATGTTATATACAGTATTATCTGGTGATTTTCAGAATTGTTAATTTACCAAAAACTCTTGATTGTGCAATTCAGGCTTCGAAGAGTGTGATATTATATGTAGAAACACTTTACCTATACCTTTAAGAGGTGCACTATAACCAGTTAGCGCAAAAGTACTGTAATTATTCTGAATCATTGGATCATGTAAATCTTACACATTCTAGAGCAGGAATGCAGTATTCTGTAGCTAAATGTGTTTTCAAAGCTTTCTTCTCTTTACATCATCAATGTCCCTATCTTTAGCTTGGCCTAAACTGGAGGATTGTTGAAATACAACATAACACGGAAAGCGAGCATTTAAATGAAAATTCACTGGTATAATTTTCCATAATATGTAAAACAACAGGAAAAACTCCCTTCTCTAGGACAAGTATAAGGTTTGTGTTCTCTCAGAGAACTTGATTATCTGTGTATCATCTTGTTTGTTCATAGACTGCACATAAATGGGCAATGCTAACCCTAACCCTAATCCAAACTCTCAAGCTCAATGAAGCCCAATAGGGAAACGGTGACGGACTCGGATGGCTATTGAAAAGGTAACTCCTCTAGCTCAGTAACTGCTTATGTCAAACTCACCATTTTGGGTTTAAAAGTTCTGTCTTTGTAAATCCGGATAAGGATTGACCAGTCATATACCTTAATTATCTGAGGTATCTTCGGCTTGGCCTTAGCAAACATGTTAGCAACATAATAATAAATAATAAATAGCTCCAGCTATCTTATATTCAGTCTTCCAAAAACAACTTTGGGTTAGCAAAGCAGAGGCACATAACATGACAAACACAGTTGCATTTTACCACCAGGCCTTAGTTTGGACATGCCTGCCTTAGTGGACCACATAATTTAAAACAAATGAATATAGCTATACTTGTATTAGGCTCTTCTTCATAGTGCTCCCTTATGAGAGTGCATTATGTTTTTTCCTGTTTGCTTCTTGTTAAACTAAATCTACGATTTGGCCTCCTCAGCAAAAACACTGTTGACTCTTACTACCGCCTAATAGAAAGATAGTGTCTTGTTTGTTGTTCAATTTATGCATGCAAGTGGTTTTGAAGTACCGGCTGTGTCAGTAAATTTCCCTTTGCCACTGTGTGAAAACTGCTTGACTTCATCCACTCCCTGTGTCCCGAACTAGAAACCATCTTTGCCATGATTGACACCGCTCCATTTGGACAGTTGGGATTAAACCTATCAATCACTTAAAGCAAGGAGACGCACAAAAAGGAGAAAAAAATGGGGCAATAAATTCAATTGTGAGTATGGGGGGGGGAAATGTGGTGGAGAAATATAGAGAGCTATTACAGGGCTATAGGGCTGCTCGCGAGTCCATAAATTCATATCAAATGACTGCAAGAGCGAAATAGCGGAGAGGTTACAGCGTGCGGGACTGCTTTTGTCTAGTGCGTAAAAGTGTGTGCAGCCAAGGACAGACCATATTTACAAGTGTGATGGCGGCAAGTCTTGAGGATAAGAAATCAACACAAAAAAACAGGAATTTTAAGAGTACCGAAAAGGAGTGGTGTGGGTTGAAGCAAGCATAGTGTTTATCTGTGTTCGACTTTGACGCCGCAGAGGTCACGGGTGAGGGACAACTATGGAGCTAAACATTTTGAATAAACTGGTTGCCATTCCTGATGCAAGTGCTTGGATTTCAATGGCTGAAATTCAGATAATTTTGAATCTATAGGACTGGAATATTTATAGACAATGGCTCCTATGTGTTTGTTATTATTGCATTTCCTGCTTTCAAACTGATTTTCTGATCTTTTGTTGGTGAATCAATAACGTTGTACAGGTCTCCCAGACGACTGCTTTTGTGATGCAATAGATATGCAAAAATTAGACAATATTAAGCACTAAAATTTTGATATCTGGGAAAGATATCATATATTGAGCCCGTTCACTTGGGACAATTTCAAAACAAAAACTACATGCATTTAAGAATCATCACCACTGTGGATGATTGAACCCTAACCCAACAAAAGTACTCAAAGCATAAATGTGTGTTGTCTGATAGAGAGAAGGCTCCGTATAGACTACTCTAGTTTTCTTTTTTCATGGTAATTCCATATTTATATAAAAAACAAAACAACAACAACACACCTTTCGCCCTCCGATGGCGGTTATCCCTCTCTAAGCTTGGGTCCTCTACCAGAGGCCTGGGAGCTTGAGGGTTCTGCGCTGTATCTTTGCTGTTCCTAGCACTGCGCATTTCTGAACCGAGATGTCCGAGGTTGTTCCAGGGATCCGCTGTAACCATTCCTCCAGCTTCGGGGTCACTGCCTCGAGTGCACCGATCACCACGGGCACTACTGTCACCTTTACCCTCCATGCCCTCTCCAGCTCCTCTCTGAGCCCTTGGTATTTCTCAAGCATATATTACACATCCATTATATATATATTATACATTTATTTTTTATTTTTTGGTAACTTTACTCCCAATCAAAAAAAACCCTGTGATGAATCTACACAGTAACCCCCAAGGCTCAAACCATTGTGGTACTTGTGCGAGTAGCACTGTTGTTTGGTTTAGTAAATCTTGTAATCATTCAATCATTAGTGTACTGCATACACCAGTTTGGCATTGTGTTTTTGAATGGCTGAATGGATCATTTTCCAAAGACCTTTGAGTGCTGTGAAAGTGGAAAAGCGCTAAAAACAGCATTCACACTGGCACTCAACGTTTCAGCAAGTCAGTCCATCACCATTGTATAACTTACGTTTGATGGTGAGCTCCCCGTAGTTGGACACTCCCACGCCCTTGTCAGAGTGCACAATGCAGCGGTACCGTCCCGAGTCGCCCTTGGTTGTATTCTCCAGCTCAAAGGTCCCGATGAAGCGCCTGTTGTTCCAGGGTTTGGTGGCCTTCATGGGGGCCTCTCTTCCGCCGATACCCTAAGGAGAGCAGATGCAGCAGGGAAAAAGTTGATGAGACAAGTTGACTGGCCTTTAAATACTAATTCTGTGTACATTCTGTATGGCTTTTTGTCAACCAATAGTTCCCAACGCTCAGTTGGTAGAGCATTGGCCTTTGGGCCTGAAGGTCGTGGGTTCGAGCCCAACACGGGACCTACTGCTCCAACTAATGTCTGCTGTCTTTGTGTCCATGGGCAAGACACATAACCCCACGTTGCCTGAAGCTCCCGCTGAAACACTAAGGCTGTGGCACCACTGATGGATCAGCCATCTTCCTGTGGACTCACCACCTGCAGAGGATCAGCAAGGGACTGGTGTTATGAGCATTGGGTGCCAGCTTCGATTGTCACCCCCCGACCCAGAAATGGACTAATAAAGGGGTAGAAAATTAATGAATAAATTAGTTCCAAACGCTAAAGTGGACACTGAATTTTTGTCTGTACTCAAGCGAGAAAAAAACAGATGAAGAATGTTTAAGGTAAAAAGAATGCACTGTAACTCAATGGAAGGCAAAGCAAGTATACTGCACAAAACATACATTCAAAAGTCAACGGCCAACTCTCAAGCGCTTGACAAAACGAGAAACAATTGAAATCAGGAATCACAGTACATTAAAAAACAGAAGATATAATCCTTCAGTTGTATGCACAGCTAAACAGAACTGTTTTAACCTGGATTTGAAAATTGTCAGATAAGCCTGTTTCAGATGTTCAAGCAGACTGGTCCAGATTCCTCCCCATGTTTAGTCCTGAATCTGGGCACCAGCAGGAGGCCACTCCCTGTGGTCCTCAGAGGAAGCCAGTACAGAGCCCTGAGAACAGGACTAATGTGTTCGTACTTCCTGGTTCTAGTTAGGACTCCAGCTGCAGGCAATAATATTCATGAACATGATGTGACAATCAAAACAATAATTATGTTGTTTTGCTTATTTCCTTATTATCCCTATGTTTTGTCTTCTAAAAAGAAAAGGAAGATAAACTTGTTTTTTTCCATCGGGCTGACTTAAAAGGGGCCTCTTATATTTCCCCAGATAATACGTTGGCATGTATGAGTCGTATCTGGCCTTTACTGAACAAAAGGCCAATGCCATGGATTCATTCTTTTGTGGATGTATTCTATTTATGTTTAAGGTTATCAAGCAGATTATTCAATCACATTTCTTTTTAGAAATTGAGCTGGTGTTAAGGATCACCCTCCCTGTACAGGGAGGATTCAGTAATTTTTCATTTAACAGCATCAGTATTAGAATTCACTTGCGTCAATATAGTCAAGCTATATCTCTTTTGAAAGCTTATTCCCACCTCTAAACGCGTATTATGTTCAAATAAACATTAAATATATCCAAAACTAAGAATAATTAGTCAAAATGTATTTATATATAAAATATATATTGTCCTTTCTTACCTTTTCATGCTAATATTCTGGGGCAAATCACGTCTAATCCACACATGTGTGCATTCATTTTGTTCGTTAGGGTCTAGAGAATAATTATATCTAGTTGTTTTTTCTTCAAAGTCATCCTTATAGTAGATATCCACTTGTAACAACATATTTGAGTATTGAAAGTTGCACAAACAAAAACAAAACCTGTTCTTTGCGCACTGTATGAAGAGGACATTTTACTATTTACCTAGCGTCACTGGGTATGTTCGTCTTCCTCTCAGTCTGCCCTTCAAAACAAGCCCATTCCCGGAGTTTTCAGTGCTATGGTTTGGAAGGTAGAGTAAGTTGGGTAAAACAAGCGTACCTAGCTTTAGCGCTCCAGTCATATACTGTAGATATCTGTGCGTCACAACAGCATTGTCTTGACTACCATTGGCCGATTTGGATGTCAATCAAATCATCTTGTAGCCAATAATCTCAGATTTCAGGCGATGTGTCGGACTTCAAGGTTCCTCCCACAGTTCCAGTCATATTTGAATGCGTAAGAGAGGAAGACGGAGCCTCTTTCACGGATAACACGCGCTATAACTATATAAATAATAGCTTTTCTGCAAACATTTCAATATCTGGAAAAAATGCAATTTATAGCAAGAGTAATAGCCAAAAAATGATATAATTTGATTTTTGGTGTAAAAACATAGATAATTTGCATGTAAAACACTTTGGCACAGTTGGCACAAAAATGGACCACTTGTGCCGAATGTGCCCATTAGTTACAATAAAGCCCCCAGCATCAAAATAGTTTCACCTAAAGGTCTAAAATTTCATACAATTGTTGCCAACACCACAAACATCTGCTCTGGTGAGTTTGAACAACATGCCATAAAATATGTATTCAGGAGAACCTTTTGAAATTGCCTTCTTTTTTTTGAGGCAAAAAAAACTAACTGACTCCTATTTGAGAAGGTGTAGTGCAGACTGTGTCCTTCCTAACAAACTGTAACATACATTTCCAGAAAGTAGAAGGTGTTACCTTTCAAATGAGGCATCATAACACAACATCAGACACAAGATGTCCACACAATAAGCATTTCCATTTGGGTATCATAATTCGAAAAGGAACAGGCGAAATTAGGTGATCCTTAAAGGGTTAATTTTGGCTATATTTTGTTTCCTTTACATAACTATAGCACCACACATCTGTATGGTGAAACAAAGCACAAAAACTGGATGAGAACCTTGTTTTTTTTGTACTGAAGGAAATCAAATAATAATAATAAAAATAAAAATAATAGGCATACATAATATAGAGTTTGTACTGTTTCTGGTTAGCACTTGTGCTTCACAGCAAGAAGGTTCTGGGTTCAATTCCACCTCCACAAGCCCTAATCCCTGTCAACCTAATTCAGAGGCATATTCAGTTTTTGTCTTTGGACAGAGTGTTGTTTGTCTTTGGAGTAAGGCCTTCACTGTCACAATGCTCTCTTAGGAACTCAAGTGTCTCAAATGAAACGGTTTATTAAGTAAAGTGCTTGACCTTCAGTAACTCTCACCGTCTTGTTTGTTGATGGCATTCCCTTCGGTGGTTAAACCTGTGCATTCATCACGGGGACGTTGACATGGCCCAAACTGCAGCGGTTCGCCCATCAGTCCGCCCTCACAGCAGGCGGATGGAGGACATTTGTTCATTAGAAATATTTCTTCATTAGCGTCATTGGGGGCTGCGCTTGATGCTTGTTTTTCTGTTGTGGCGCTAATGGGGGCAGGTTTGTTAAATGGATTGAGGAGCAGGACCTCTTGCTTTGGCAATGGCAAGGGTGACAGCGGAGGCGGCCGGGCTAGTGTTCGCAAGACGGCGCTAACTCGACTGATAACAAGAAGGTCAAGACATCACTGCAGGGCTTGGATCGAATGCCACATGTGGGACAGTTCTTGGATGCCTGGATTTATTCTTCTATTTGTTATGTTTTACCGTTAAATTATAAATGTACATGTTGCAACTTAACAGTTAGCTGCTTACGGCTGCTGTCAAGTGCAGCATGCATTTGAATAAAGGCAAATATTGTTTATTTACTCCAAGAGAAGTCAACTTGTGTGATTTTAGTTTTGGAAGCATATTTACTGTGTACATTTTTGGTCTTGGTCCTTTTCTGTATTTGATTTATTTCTACGTCATTTGTATGAAATTATCTTTGAATCTTTCTATGGCAGTTAAAGCCCCGTTACTCCAAGGTGCTTGTTCTGGACTGGTTCTGGTTATCACGTTATATTATATCATATGTTATATTAAACACTTTAAGCACTTAAGGGTAAACCTTATATATGTCTTATTTAGAAACTAAACATGTTTGTCAAATAGATGTTGCCAAACGGTCCGGCAACCCATCTGTAGTGGGTTATGATTCTATTGACATTAATGCCTTGTCTACTGCACGCATGCACACCAAAATGCTACAATCAAAATTTGAAGCAGTGCGGTGGATTGTTTCTTGTTTCTAGAGTGTGCGGTTTTCCTTATCTCATGAATCTGAATCTGCAAGGATTATTACATCTGTGACAAATTAGTGCCATATCAACTCTGAGGAGCAGAGGAATTGGCCTCCTGCTGGTGCCCAGAATCAGGACTAAACATGTGGGAGCCATGTTTTTATTGTTTCTTCATGAATTGTGAAGCACTTTGGGTTACTTTTGTATGAAAAGCGCTGTACAAGTATACAAGTAGGATTTGATGGATAGATATTTAGATTGAATCGAAACTGGAGCTTAGGTAAAGAAGGGTTTCTACTCTTTAATTTTTTGAACACATTGGTCAATGGCACTTTTAATGGGATGTTTTCTTACACTGAATTTGCATTTTATATATAATTGTATTAGTGTGGTATGCATCACCTTAAACAAGACTTAGTAACATTTTGAACCAAACCAAGTTATTTCATTTGGTTTACTCTATGACTTTCATCAAAGGAACATGACAAAAGCTGATTCAGTCAAAGATATTGGAAAAGGTAACTCAGAGAGACACTCATTTTGCAAAGTCGTAATTTCATAAAGTAATTAAGCTTTACAGTACTGTCTGTATGTCATGGGTGAAAGCCAAGGTGGAGAAAATGACGAAAACTCATTTAAAAATCGACAATGCAAACTCCCCCGCCTGTCTGGCCTCTGAACCTTTTCTACATTCTAATATATGCTCTGTTTATACAGTCCAATCCATGAAAGAACTTGAGATTATTGTTCAAATCCTCGGTTAACATTTTCTGAAAGCAAAACTTTTTGTACTTGATATCAAGGTTACGAAGGCTTGTACCTTCATAACCTTGATATCAAGTACAAAAAGTTTTGATGTTCAGCTGAATGACAATACAACAGTCAAAGTAGGAATCTTAAAAGATACCGTCTAAACATTTCAATTAAACTATGAATATGTTGCAGCTCAGCAGCTGAACAATGTTAACAAGATATATTCAGCTCGTCGTGTGTGCGCGTTTCAATGAGGAAGAGGCGGTGTAGACGACAACATGAACATTCCTGGACTATCATGAATATAAATGGATTTGGTGTGACAAAACAAAGGCCTCGGTGACTTTTCCCAATATTTTGACCAATGTTTAAATGGCACTTCAACTCGGGAAGACAGTGGGAATGAATGCTGTGTTGTTTTAACCCATGTCAGCTTTTCGCAACGGCAAATTCACGAACCTTTCAAAACAAGAGTAGTCAGCCTCTTTGTCCCCAAACACTTAATCGACTCACCTCCAATAGTTGGACTTGCAGGCATTCGTGGGTGTCTTTTAAAAGGTGCCATTAAATAAATGTTTTTCTAATTATAATTTTAACATCACAGGCATTGCCTTGCCTTGAAGCAACAGAAACATTTTCAAAAATAAATAAGCAGCGCAAGCAAAACTTTCACGATGAGAGCTTAAGTCTTGTTACACTGTCATTATGTCAAGTCTTGTCCATCGTGTGACTTGTGTGTTGTTTTATAACCTTCTGTAGCCTGTTGCTTCCCCAGACATGTAGGTCAGAGGAGGCAACAGGCAACAGGCTTTTAAACAGTATGTAGTTATGCTGTACAACTAACCACCATAATCATACTGCAGCAACGGGCTGCTCGGAATCTTACACCATTCTTTTTTTCATCTTTCTTTAACCCAGGCATATCCACACCAATGCATGCTGTGTCATTCTATTTGGCCCTCTACCGCTTACGTGGCAATAAAAATGATTCTGATTCTGATGTTAATGAACACACCTCTCCGTCATCCCACAGTCGCACAAAAACACACTCATCCAACTTGTACATATTTTTAGTGGCAGGGGAAACCGGAGTACCCAGAGGAAACCCACGCAGACACAGGGAGAACATGTAAATTCCTCTCAGAAAGGCCCCGTTCCGACCGGGATTAGAACCCGGGACCCTGGAGGCTGAGTGGATGGAATTATTACTCTTTAAATTGAAATATGTTTCTCCTCAAGTCTTACCTGAAGCCAGAGTCTGAAGTTGTCCCTTTTACGCCCATTAACCGTGCAGTGAAACGATGCCGACTGGCCCGCGTTGACCTCCACCCCTTTTATGGTCAGAAAATGTGGCGTGTTCACTGAAAACAACACAATAAAAGACAGTATTTGATTAGATTAGATAGAATTGTTTACAAACATGCCCAAAAAGCTGTCATATATTTCGCTGTTTGTGACTTTCAATCTAATTCATCACCACTCTTACTAGAACCCACGACAATATACTTGCACACTTTGAACAGCGTGCCAAGGATTGCATTTAGCCACAGGAAATGCACTTAAATAGATATGGTTTCTTTCATTTATAACATGACTGAGGCTAATGCCAAAAGCTGCCATTAAATTTACCACCAGATCACGCACAGAGATTTTCGGGGCCTTGTCCTATCCCAACCGACTAAAAACCTGTTCTAAGCTTGGGTACGACAACTGTTTTGCATATTCTATTGTTTTGGATCATAATGGAGAATACACATTAACAAATTATCTAACACAATAGTTAATTAAGAAATCTTTATCAATCCAATTATAACTTTAAGAAGGTCCATCTTAATATCTTGGTACAGTAGGTCCCATTCCGTTTTGTCGCTTCTTCTAAAACCCAGACAAATCAATTATAAAGCATACATTTTGTTTGCCCAACATAATGAGCTTTGTAACAGTAAAATGACATTAACAAATCATATTAGGAAACACTTTTATCTTTTGTATACTTGTAAGAAAGAGCCCTGCGAGTCAATACTTGACACTTTGGGTTGAGAATGGATTGGGGGACCTCTTTTTTTCAGTTTACTCTCTGAAAAGAATGTGACAGAGGCCTAAATCACACCTGTATGTGAAAATATGGATTTTCTTATACACAGTGGTATACAGGTAAAACGCTCAAAAATAGAATATATAAGTTGATTAATTTCTGTAGTTTAACTATTAATTTGAAACCATATACGATATAAACCCATTACACGCAGTGACATATGCCGAGCCAATTTTGCAATATTCTGATTTTCTGTGTGTTTAATGTAAGTTCAATTAGAGGAGTAAAAGTTTCACCTGTAGGTCATTGTTTGTGGTTTTGTAGTTTCCACATACATGTATACATTTTAAGTCCTCTAATTGATCTGGGGTCTTGTTTAACAGTATCTTTCAATAGTTGGGCTGCTCGGAACAGAACGTTGTTGATGAGGACCGCTGCACTGTGTGCAGAATTAGGCCGATTCAGTGGAGCACGCTGATTTGAAAGCTAAACTAAATCTCTAAGGAACCTACTCACTAGCTTTCATTGCAGGACTACTAGCAATATATCTCACAACAGTGTATGACTTTGCCTTGTCAATCGTTTCATTCCTAAAAAAACAACGTCTATTTTCCCGAGTGCTAATGACTGCTTTAATGACAGGAGGACAGGAGACATGCCCCCCACTGGCACAATCGCACCTATGTGGAGGAGAGTATATTAATAGAAAATGAATTGCTGAGGTCACAGGAAGTCAAGTGGTAAGAAAGCAAATTAGGTACAATTTATCATTGCAGTATAACGTAGGCATCCATTATCGGCCTGAACACAAAAAGAATGTCTTCTTGGAAATCGATTAAATTTAATACAGCAGTCATTTCGGAGGACTAAGTTGTTGATTCACCAACAACAGATCAGAGAATCAAACAGCTCGAACACCGGAAATAGGATAATAACAAACACATAGTAGCCATTGGTCTATAGGGAGCGGAATGACCAAAGTCCATATATGTTTATAAATGACTAAATGTCCCTGACCATTATTGTCCTTGGAACCTCCTTTTTTATTGGTAAAAACTCAGTGGGAAAAAAGTGAGGACAGACAGGCTGTAGAGCCAGGACAATGATTGTTTTTATTGTTTGATTTAGTTTACAATTGGTAAAGCGTTAAGCCCTTACAGACAGCTGTTATTGTGGCATTTCAGACTGTACAATAATACTTTGGTTTTTTGGTTGCAAAAGTATCATGTCCTTTAATCTAATCAAACGTTAATCTTTCAGTATTCCCATGCTTTATGTGTCATGTTAATTTCAAATGAACAATAACACTGGGTAGCATACTGGGCGGGCAACTGTCACATTGGTAGAATAGCAAGAAGGGGAAGTAGCACATGGCATGAATACCAACCTAATGAGATGAGATGTTGTATCAGTCCAGGCATTTGCATCTCATTATTACTCATTTTTTTCAACATTTATATTTCCTCGTTCATGCATCTCCTCTCTTGCTCTATAACTTGACTTTTTCCTTATCTCTGAGATTCCCACTGGTCAATACGCACACATCGACCCTTCACATTTTACATGTCTCCACATTGATCACGTCTCGGAGCCACATTGATCCACCTTCAGCCGTACAAATCCATGCTCCATCGACAGAACATTTGCAGGATTCCTTCTGCTTTCCAACTGTTAGCAGGTCAATAGCTGCCAACTTTACAATGTGTATACTATCTCGCAGAGAAAAGGTCAAGCAAAAATCATTTAATAAAAACTCCAGATATTAGACAAGTATTTCATCTAAACCCTGATGATAATCAATTAGTTATTTGATCCCAAAAGCTTAGTGAATATGGAATTTTTCCCTCATTTGACCAATACAAAGTGAAGGCCTGGACAATGTTTTCATAGAGTTGACTTGTTATACATTCGGTTGTTTTAATAATAATACTGTGTTTTCATGTTACTCTTATTTGAGTCATAAAACCTCTGCATTTAGTATGGTTTCAAGTAAGGTTCAATTTTTGTTTTTTTTAATCTACCGCTAACAAACATTAAATTATGGAAACAGGAACAGGTAGAAATAAGTCAATTCAAGTGATGCGTTTCCAACTATTGCCCATTCTCCTTAATTCTAGGCCACTTTAGCACATCCATGCAGGAGGGTCTTGTTGGACAGTTAGTGTCCAACAAAAAGGATGTGGTGATGATCCAGGACACTTTAACATTCTACAACATATATGGACATTTTTTTGTGTGCTTCATATTTTTCATGTGTTTTAACTGTTGATTCTCTGATCTGTGTTGGTGATTTTCAATGGTTTTGTTAAGTCCTCTGAGACGACTTCTGTTGTGACTTAGGGCTATACAAGAATAAATTGTATTGTATTGTATTATCCATAAATCCTTGCGCAGCCATAACCATTGACATGAACAGACTGTTGGCAGATTGTTGCCCCATCAGAAGGCCTTGGTCCAGGCTGCTCCTTGTATTGTCCGGGTGTCATGCGGAGGACATGAGCTTTACTATAGCAACATTCTCTTTTTTTATGGAGGAGGAGAGTGGACGGACTTACTGCACTGATGTCCCTGGACCACAACCTCTTTGATGGCCACCAAACCGCGCTGGCCGGAGGTTACCACTTCGAACACGATCTGCGGAGAGAAGAAGAACTCGTAACAGGGTGATGGATGGGCACGTGTCAGACAGCAGCGTTCATACAGAGGGAGAAGGCAGAAGGACAAGCTCTGTAATGCATTAATGTGATCCAGTCTGAGGAGTCCACAGCTGGAGGGTACGCAAGTTATTTCCACAATATGTCACCAGTGAACGGTGCAATGACAATGCATGTGTGAAATCAACTTTAGGCTGTAGGATGGTCGGGGGGGTGTGTGGGGAAGGGGAGTGTGAGACAAGACCAAGTAAATAAGGTGCTGAAGGCTGTTCACAATAATTACTACTATGTTAGCTTGTCATTCCATGTTGATTTGTTCTTAAACAGTGAGGATATAGCTACATAGGGTTGTTTGACATATCTGAGTAACTGTTGGTTGTTTTAAACAGTGATTAATTTAGTGTATTATAATAATTTCCCTAAGAGCCTGAATTTTACTGTTTGGCATCACAGAGAACATCTCACACAGTACTCCTGTTTGTTTACTGCCTCTGCAATAGTTTTAAACAAGTAAGTAGTAGTACATAAGTCATCTTTATCTATATCGTGTCTTTCACAGTAAACAGTACAAGTAGCAAAGTATTTTGCAACTTAGTGGTTGAGGAAACCTCCACAGACACAAGGAGAACATGCAAACTCCACTTGAAAAAAAAAAAACCTAACCACTTTGCAACAGTGCTTTTGTAAAAATCTAAGTAAAAGAAGAGATAGAAAGAAATGCTCAGCCCAAAAAAATAGTAACACATGCTCAGTCAAATAATAATCAAATATACGTGTAGAAATCTTTTGCAAAGCTTCTTTCCTTTTGTTCAAGCGTAAAGGCATCACTTGTTGACCAAGGGCACAATATAGTGCCACTGTTCATGAATTTTTGATGTTTTTGGAGTTTTAGAACAACATCAGCCTTGTGGTCGCCTGGTAAAATGCAGTCTCCCTTTAAAGTAAATGTTTACTACTGCACACAGTCTCCAGCTTAATGAATACACTAAAAATTACACTAAACTAGAGGATATTCACGATTATTTCATGTTGGTCTTCTCTTTTCCTGTTTTGCATGAACACATTTACAGTGAGAGCTACACGAGGTCGATGCAAATACCCACTTTCACTACTACAGTTTCAATATTAACGCCACTTTGAATAGTCAGGACTATATTTACAGTCACATAAATACGATGTACTTTGCATTTAAGTCATGCATAGGAATTCTTTTTAAGTGCCATTTGGACACACAGTTGTCAGAGTCTCCAATTACATGTCGGCCGTGTTGTTAGCGACGGGCGTGACGGCGGCTCCACACACACCAACCCCGCCTCTGCGACGCGGCCCCTCGCTCCCCGCTATTCTGGGGTTACTTTCCCTGAACAACTGTGTGCGTCGTTGGCCTAGGCGTGTCCGGAGTTATGCGAGTGGTAAAACAGGGAGACGCGAGCCCTGGCGAAAGCAGAGGGCGTGGTACGGCCTCCGAGTGTGCACACATGTTCCGGATGCCTTTGCTAATGTGAGGCTGTGTGAGCCTGCAAAAGGCTGTTTCAGATGCCAGTGATTGGGAATGTTTCTTTTTTTAAGTTTGCATACATATTAGAATATAATTTATTCTCAAAACATGACAACTAGTCACACTTGAAAATAATCAAATTCAGGTTATAATCTTGGTACAGCATTCAGAACAATTACTCAACATATTTGCTTGTTTGATTTATAACACTTTTCTAACTTGAAAAGAGTTCAGCAAAGGAAATCTGTCTAAAAGTTCTTGTCAAGAATCTGGTGCTGATCCTCATAAACTGGTGAAAACTGTTGTGCAAAATATGCTCAGAACACGTTAGATTTGTGAAATAATGTATCTAATATTGATAATAATTATGATAATACAGAGAAAAGTCTTAATTCACTATGCTTAAGAAACTAAGACAATAATAAAATGATAAAAGGCAGAAAAGCTGTGGTACATTTATATCATAATATTACAAGACAGAGAGGAGCTTTTAGACTGAAGGGGCAGTGCTACATGTTTGTGCCAGAAGTTACGTGGATGGATCTACAAACAAATCCAAGTCTGTTTTTGACGAGGGAGGGAAATTTTTTGGTTTTAACATGGTTAAAACCTGGAAAAAATGTATTTGTTTTTTTACATAATGTGTGTCTTGCTGGCACGACAGTGGCTCAGTTGGTAGAGCGTTGGCTTTTGGGCCTGAAGATTGTGGGTTCGAGCCCACCATGAGACCTACTTCACGACTCCCACTGATGACTGCTGTCGTTGTGTCCTTGGGCAAGACACTTAACCCCACTTTGCCTGAAGCACCCACTGAAAGATCAAAGCTTCTGTGGACTCGCCATCTGTAGGAGGATCAGTGAGAGGCTGGTGCTAAGTGTACTGGGTGCAGCTCTGACAGCCACGTGCCCGACCTAGAAATGGATTAAAGGGAAGAAGATGAATGAATGGATGCATGTTGTCTTGCTGAAACTTGTGGAGTATCATGCTGCCTCCTCATGATGCATTGTCATTGTTTAAATGGCATTAAACATACCCAGCTCCCCACGAGCATAAGTTCTTGATCACCTTGAACAGCTACAGAGGTGTGTTGCAATAGAAATGCAAATCAATTAATGCAAGTCAATAAAAATCATCTCTAAAATTCCAGACTACCCATTTGTTTCTTTGGCTCTCCATATGTCATATTGACATTGAAGAGTAGAACTTAAAAAACGGACCATATTTTTGTTTTTCTTAAGCCATTATGAGAAACTCTAATGTCGCTGGAACGTAGAGACTGAGATAGTCAATGCATTGTCATCTGGGAGAGAGGATGCCGTCAGATAAGTCTAATTATGAATATCCTTTTTCGTATGCTCAAATATGAAAGTAGATGTGCCAATTACGGCCTCATTACAGGCTAATTCAAAGGAAATTAAAAAGGCCAAACGCTTCATATAGCTTCAGTAGACAGATGACCCGGCTCCCACGCACTAATTGAAATCCTTTGTTTGTGCAACACACATCAGTCAGTCGGCCTTACAGCTCTGATATAATGGATTCTTATATCAATGATAGCTCTTCGCATAATTGGCCAGGACCTTTATAGTAGTAATATCCACATGGGATGAGAGCGGTTGGTGGCATCTTAAAAGTTCACTTCCTCATTTGTCATGTAGGGAAAGAAGATTGAATGGTTCATGTCTGCGTCGTTGTAAAGTTTCCCCCACAGACCAGGCCAGAAAAGGCATTAGTCAATTGATTTGCACCATGCTGTGGTATGATACACTAAGATGTAGACAAATATATTTTGAACATGTATTATGAGTAGAATGTTATAAAGGCATTGATGTGAAATTTGTAAATTCCCCCCCATATATTTTTAAAAATTCAAGCACATATAAAGAACTAAGAATTAACAGGGAAAGATACTTGCCACTTGGTGGAAGCCCCTTTACGTACTCGCCAACAATGGTTTTTCCCACTTGGAGCTCTCTACAGCCCCATGACCTTTACAATAACACTTTTGTTGCCAGAATCTTCTGCCTGTGACACCTTCTGAGGTTCAACTCAAAACTGAACTAAATCTGTTCAGTTTCTAGCTCAGTACTACTTATATTGTATTTGCTTTTTTGTTTGGGAATTTTGTTATTAAAAAATATGCATACAACAATAGCTCAAAACAGATCAATTTCATCCAAATGAGAGCTCATTCTGCTCTGATTGGATAATCTGATAAACATACATATTATGGAAATTGTGTTCATTTTAGGTTTCATAAAAACAACTTTACTTTAAACATATAGATTAGGTGTATGTAATTTAAAATCAAAATATCACATACTCTCATGTTTGATTGAGATTGATTTGTACGAATACATATTTTTTTCATTTTTTTTTTTTTCTTGAGCGTATTGGACCTGTCTGTGTGCGTGCCTGTGTGTGTATCTTGTGTTTGTTAAAAAGAATAATAGATAAACAAACTGTCTGATTTCAAAGACATGTTTGTAGAGTCCAGCTAGCACATTGTCTGATTTCGGATGCAAGCAAGGCAAACGACAATCTTCATTAAAAGTTTGAGGATGCCCCAACAGGCATAATTATCAAAAGGCTGGAGATGAAAACAAGCTAAACCTGTAATTAGAAAATAATTTCACACTTTCAGGTGGCTTCCCTTTGACAATTGTCTAGGATACCATGCAATTAAAGATACCTGTAATTAGTGTTGTGTTGTTAATTAGTGACAATTTTCAGCTTTTCTTGGCTCTGAGCGGCAGTGGATCATTGGCACGCCTTCATCCATGTTTGAGGTCTTCTGCTGTGGGCGCAGACTTCCAGGCTGGACTTCCTCAACAATACCCGGATGAGTCATTAGACGAACTTCAAATTATTACGTGATGCAAAATAAAACAGAGCAGCATACACTAATACTTTGAAGGCTCCTTTTATTGGGCTGCCATCTTACATCTGGCTTCCTCTCAGTAGTGGTCCTTGTTAACCAAGTCATCAGCAGCAGTCGTAGAGCAGCAGGACCCCTTGCTTTCCCTATGATCCGGTTCTACCTGGTCTTAATGAAAATCTTTTTGAGCACCAGCTCCCATTGGGAGGTGAAGGGTCCCTCTGCATCAATTGACATTTGGTGGACTAGTGGCAAGGCAAGTGTGAAATCACCTTGGCCTGGTCGGCAGTCTTGTGCACTGGGAAGTGAAAATGACTTTCAGAAATGGAAACGCACAAGTGGCTGGGATGAGGAGAGCAGGAACACATTACCATGGATACAGCAGCCCCAGAATCAATATTTCGCGGGGGGTTTCAATGGGCCATTGTACAATTGTTTGGTTCTTCTCAAATGATACATTTGTCTTACTCCTCCCAGAAAACAGGCTATAATGAGGCAGGCTTAAGGACAAAGCCTCCAAAAAAGTGATGCCCGCTTTCTCCTCAGACACTGGGTAAAGATGTGGAAAACTGCCCACGCAAACCAGGTCACTAGAGCGCCGCGGTCATATTACATCTAGAATGTGAGTGAGTGAATGAAAATGTATGTATGTATTTATGTATACATACATACCACAAACGGTACATAGTTGAAGCCATTATTATGAGTAAACTAATATTGCAACACCGATATGGGTTTTTTGTAAGGATCGGATAATATCGGATTTGTTAAATATGAAGCAGATTTACGTCACTTTTCAGCCTGCTCACGCTTTACGGCTGCCGTAAACTAAATACAATGTAAAACTAGGGCTGGGCGATAAAACGACAAAGAGATATATTGCGATAGACACGTGTTTGATAACAATAGAAAACAGGGTCGATAGAATGTTAGTTTAACATCAATCCGTAAGAAAAAACAGGACGAAAACACAGGAAGTAAAGAAAGTCAGAGGCGCGCGCCATTCTGGGGGATGTAGGCATAGGCTTCTCGACCTATCACAGCCAAGCGTGAACCACAAAACTTTCTGGGAAATGCAAAACAACAACCGCACAATGCGTAGCGTCCATGGATCTAAAGATTGTTTTTCAATGCCGTGTCAGTGGTTATGCACGTCCGTGCGAGGCATAGCATGTGCGGCGAGGCATAGGCAGTAGATACGGAGACCCGGTGCATGCGGCAAAAGCAAATGATGAACTTTTTCCTCCGTGCGGCTATCAGAGAGCGGCCGCACAGAGCCGTCAAGGGGACACAAAACAGGAGATAAACCAGGACTAAACCAGGATTTCACCAGGACTAACTATGGGGGAGACTGCTTGTGATCATATTCCTCGAGCCTCATTCCCCGTGACTTTAAACAAGGCTGCTAACGTGTGTTAGCCGACACGACAAACGTATTTATTCAGGTAACAATGCAAAATCTTTAATGCTTTGAAAATATTAGAATTTTTTTTATCGGATCGGTTTCGGCAAGAATATCGGAATTGGATCGGATTACAAAAAATCTGGATCGGTACATCCCTAATTGAGAATCCACAAAAATCACCTTGTAGTAGTTGTAATAGTATAAATTAACTTGTCAACTATATTAAGTTCAATTACCTGGTAGTAGTTCGGCCAGTAGGTGCTGATGGCGAGCTCCACCTGCCCCCAGGCCCTTGCAGCAGGGCCGGAGACGTTCCACACGGGCATGCCCATGGGGCTGCTGTTCTCTCGGATGTACACGTTGAGGTGTCCTGGGTGGCTGCCATCTCGACCGCCCATGTAGTACTGGAACAGGACGCAGTGAGTGTCGTTCTCTTTGAGCTGCGGCGACAGCAGCAGAGCTCTCTGTCCAGCGAAACGCCCAGAGGTGTTGACCATCATGAAGGCCGCTCCTGCAAACACAACAACACCAGATAAAGAGCAAGCAAGAAGACCAACCATGTGAACTCGATGAAATGTATAAGTTTACTGTTTTTAAATGTAAAAAGTTAATTATGTTTTCTGGACTGCTCCCTGGACTCTGGAGGAGGTGAGGGACAGGAGGGTGAAAGCCAAAGTCACCTCCATCATGGACAACACCTCCCACCCTCTGCACAGGACTGTAGAGGAGCTGAGGAGCTCCTTCAGTGGAAGACTGAGGCACCCTCATTGCAAAAAGGAGCGCTACCGCTTCATCCCCACCGCTGTCAGACTGTACAATAAGTCACTTTAAGTCACTAATGACTAAACCAAAGAACCAGCACTGCTATTGCCACTCTTTTATTGTACATAATCAAATCCTGCACAGACTATATTTTTAACCTTAACATGTTTCACACTTAAGTCTTTTTCTGAGGGATTCTATCTATGCCAAATGTGACATTTCTCGATTGTGAGAACAATAAAGTTTATCTTATCTTCATGGTTAAGGTTATTTTAACAAGAGTGTGAAGAAGCTTGTTCTGATTAATTACCACATGTTCTTCAGAGAAGACATGTGGTCGATGCGGTCTGTGGAGGGTGAGTCCAAAGTGTGAGCCAAGGATAAAGCCCCCTTCTCTATGTTGATGAGCCCTGCGTTAAGCACTGATAGCTACTTTACACTCTTTGTCTTATTAAAATAACCTTATACGGTATTATACCATATAAGTATTATACCATCCATCCATTCCATCCATTTTCTTCCGCTTCATCCGTTGCCGGGTCGCGGGGGCAGCAGTCTAAGCAGAGACGCCCAGACTTCCCTATCCACAACCAACTCCTCCAGCTTGTCCGAGGGGACCCCAAGGCGTTCCCAGGCCAGCCGAGAGACATAGTCCCCCCAGCGTGTCCTGAGTCTACTCCCGGTTGGACGTGCCCGGAAGATAAACTGTTCAGGGGGCATCCTGAAAAAAGCCCGAGCCACCCCAACTGTCTGCTCTCGACGTGGAGAAGCAGCGGCTCTACTCCACGCTCCTCCCGTGTGACTGAGCTTCTCACCCTATTTCTAAGGGAGCGCCCAGCCACTCTGCTGAGAAGCATTTCGACCGCTTGTACCCGCAATCTTGCTCTTTCGGTCATTACCCAAAGCTCATGAGGGAGGGAACGAAGATTGACCGGTAAATCGAGAGCTTTCCCTTTCGGCTCAGCTCCCTTTTTACCACAAAGATCAGGTAAGCGACCGCATCACTGCGCACACTGCACCGATCCGCCTGTCAATCTCACGCTCCATCCTTCCCTCACTCGTGAAAAAGACCCAGAGATACTTGAACTCCTCCCCTTGAGGAAGGACCACTCCACCCACAAGGAGAGGGCAAAGCACTTTTGTCCGGTCGAGCACCGTGGTATCGGATTTGGAGGTATTACAGCTTTTTGACTATTATTATTTTTTATCTCTTACAACAAAAAGATCCAAGACAAATGTGGGGAATTGTGGGAAGGAGCTCATGTAGAAAATAGTGCCTATAGGGAGATAATTACTGTTTATAGCCTCATGTGGCTTTTTAAATTCAGGACATGCGAAAAAGAACAAGACAAGCCAAGCCAAGCCAAACCAAACTAAAAGACTACTCTACTCTACTGCTGAGCTGACCTTTGGATGGTGGACCAGTCATCTAACTATTGGTCTGTAGTTGAAATGTGGCCCTTATAGTTGATTGTATCCAAGTTGATTAATATTATATTTAGAGCAAGGACTTTAACACGTGAATTTTTAAAGGACAACTCACCCTCAAATCCACTTTTTTTTGCTGATAAACGGTATAAATGAGTGTCCAATAGTTTTGTCTACATATCCTGGTCATAATTGTGTCACTTTGGTGCAAATTAGTTGAAAGTTAAACTTTCTGCCTAAAACTGTCTGTGAGGCGCCATCTGCAGGCGACCTGTATTACTACATTTGAATTTTGAATCTGGCGCCAACACTGGCGCGGCAGCAAGACCTGACGTCTGAAGCAAGACCTGACGTCAGCAGCCCCCCGCCCAGAGCAATGTAAACGGCCCAGTCTCGTTCATGCCCCCTTTAGTCCTCCAGGCTACGGCCATTTAAAGGAAGATTTGAACAGGAAATGTGAGTGACGTAAGCTCCGAGGAGCGGGGGTGAGAACCACTTTAATTAATAAAAAATTGCCCGTTATAAAAATTGACGCATTTTCATCGTATTCATTTTTGCACCGCGGAACGTTTCTCACTGGATGAGTTTCAGGCCATGTCCAAGCGTAGCCAGGTATTTTAAAAACCAAATATTTCCCCCCCTCCGTTTATAAAAAAATTGCATCCACACATAACCAAACATCTGTGTTTTCAATCACAATTATAACATTCCAAACATGTTTGTCCTCTGACGTCCTGCGTTGGGGGAAAAACACAGAAGTGGGCAGAGCTATGATACTGACGCCGGTACTTCTGTAGCGGCACTTTTACAGTCAGAGTAGAAACTCAGGTTAAAGACACATATTCAAGGGAGACACAAACGCTGTGTCTCCCGTCCTCAGTCCTGGTTTAATCCTGGTTTAGCTCCCGTTTTGGTTGTTTTTGAGCTAGAGTCCCCGTGATCACTGATGCTCACTGATGTGGAGCGAGGATGTTCGCTGCTGCAAACCGCTCGCAGCAGCGAACAGATTTTAAGGCATTAAGATCCATGCTTCTTCAGTGATCAGAGGTTGCAAGTTTTGTTTGTTGTTGTTTTGGCACATATTGTGACATGATAATGATGATATTAATAAAAATAATGCATCTGTTTTATATAGCGCTTTTTTGGACACTCAAGGAAGCTTTACATGTGTCATTATTCATTCACTCCAAACACAGTGGTGATAAACTACTACTGTAGCCACAGCTGCCCTGGGGCACACTGACAGAAGCGAGGCAACCAGAATGTGCCATCGGCCCTTCCGACCACCACTAACCATTCACACACACACATACACACACCAGGCTCATTCTAGGCAATGGGGGTGAAATGTCTTGCCTAAGGACACAACAGCAGTTTGGCACTTTACAGCCGCAGCCGCCCCTGGTGTGGCATCTGGAGTGTCTTGCCAAGGAGAGGTGGAGAAAGTGTTGTGGTGGGCTCGAACCCACGACCTTCAGGCTCAAAGGCCAATGCTCTACCAACTGAGCTACTATCGCCCCTGTGACGTGCGAAAACTCAAAAACTCCGGTTATCTCTGACCAAACACAAATGCATAAACAGAGTTTACTTTGCCCGGAGTTTTTTCATATTTTCTTTGCTTTGTCATGTGGAGGACTGGTGCAAACTGCGGTTTAGCAGTTACCCGGCTACGAATGGACCGGGCCTCAGACGGACTGATTGTACTAGAGCACCAACTAACTCGCATGAATTCGGTTCAGACAACAACAAACCACAGTGGCACAGTGAACATGAACAAAGAAGCTGATGTGATCGCATTGGTTGGCCCCGTGCATGGGAAAAAAATTACTTCTCACTGTTCTCAGGTCAAATAATTATATTATAATTACAAAGCCTCTTATTAATTAGATTAGCTTTTTTAATCGAGTCCCAGCCCTACTTGTGTGGCAACATTACAATACAATTGTGTAAACATTGACTGTACTTCCTGCATTTTATTAGGAAGTGTGACAAATTACTTCTTACAAGGTCATCTCAAATAATGCACATTGTTTTCAAAGCATTTTCAATGATGAAGTGATGAAATACCCTTTTATCAAACTAGGACAAGTCGCTCTCTGCAAATGTCTGTTGAGAAGTGATTTGATCCAGCTGTCCTGGTTTTTTTAATCAATAAAACTATGATTATTATTAATTATAATGCAATACAATAGAATACACTACAAAAACAACAAAAGTGGCAGACTTTTAACACACGGTAAATCACGACAATGAATAAACCTGGAATGAACCTGGAATGTGAAAAAATGAGACCACAACATCCGGTCTTCTTCTTATTAAAAAGCATAAAAACTGTTATCTTTTCTAACAAAAAATGAAGCACAGTAGCAGAGTCAGGACAAAACATGGGGAGGCAGCATTTCCGATTCTGGAACCTTATTTAAGGTAGGTAAGGTATAAGGTAAGGTATGGAACCTTACGTTGTGTGATTTTTTTTCTCTTGTTTTGTCAATCACTGTGAGTTCCCTGGGGGAAGTGCTATACAAATTCACTTGTCTTGCCTTAAACTTTTCATCAGTGGATAAAATGGATGCTGGTTCTTTAGGAACATTTAAGCAAGTAAGTAAGTAATCTTTATTTATATACCGCCTTTCACAGACCAGAGTCACAAAGCGGTTTACAATTGTTATTTAACATCTGTATTGGTTTTTCACCATGTTACTGACACAAAAGCATCCCAAAACGAGCCCGAGTTTATTACCAGAAGCACCTTTAGGTCCTAGGGTGCAGTCTGACTGAATTAAAGTCGTTCTCCTCCTCAGCTTCAATGACTGCTTCGGGACCTTCGCATTAGCGCTGGGGCTTCTTGTGTGTGTAATGAGAAAAAGGCACTTATCTCCAAAACGTATCAAATTCTCTAACCTGCCTCATATATCAAAATAAAACCGAGCTGGTAAAAAAAAGAGAAGACACAGTCTGTGATTCCTTGGGATGTTTTTCCAGTCTCTCAATGACGCGGGCAATGATGAGAGATTGATAAGTTGAAATCCATTTGCCGTCATTTAGGCCGGTTCAATATTATAAAGGTTAATCTAATAGCGAGGCGTATAAGGCATTGGCGGCAGTCCAGGCATTCTGGGACGTATCGCATTTGTCATCATAGTATTTAGCTTGGTGCCGTGACAAGATGGCCCGCGGAGATTTGGAGACTTGGCAGAAGGAAAGAACCATTTATGTGGTGATGGCAGTGGCTTTGATTGAGTTTTATAGGGAGAAAAAACTATTTGGAAATCAAATGGTCAGGCAATCTATACTAACGTTAGTGTGT